TTTTCTTGTTTTTTATCTTCCTAGATGAAAGCTCACTTGCGTGTTGGTGTGGCTACTCTCAACACTCTAGCAGGCTACATTGACTGGGTTTCTCTGAGCCACATCACCAGTCAAAACTGCCGTCTTCTGGAGATCTTGTGCTTGTTGTTGAGTGAACCTGAGCTGCAGCTGGAGGCCGCAGAGTGTCTGCTAATTGCGATTAGTAGGAAAGTAAGTGGCTGTCGCATTTACATCCATCTATCCAGACATGAGTTGTTAGAATGTTTTCTGTCTGATGATTTATTCTGAACGACCAATAATAGTTAATATAATGACCCACTAACATGCCTGTAGTTGGTCAAAACATCCATCTATCCAAACATCCATCCATCCAAACATCCATCCATCCAAACATCCATCCAAACATCCATCCGTCCAAACATCCATCCATCCAAACATTCATCCATCCACAGTATCCATCTATCCATCCATCCATCCAAACATCCATCCATCCAAACATTCATCCATCCACAGTATCCATCTATCCATCCATCCGTCCAAACATCCATCCATCCAAACATTCATCCATCCACAGTATCCATCTATCCATCCAAACATTCATCCATCCACAGTATCCATCTATCCATCCATCCAAACATCCATCCGTCCAAACATCCATCCATCCAAACATTCATCCATCCACAGTATCCATCTATCCATCCATCCGTCCAAACATCCATCCATCCAAACATTCATCCATCCACAGTATCCATCTATCCATCCATCCAAACATCCATCCATCCAAACATCCATCCATCCAAACATTCATCCATCCACAGTATCCATCCATCCAATCATTTATTCATCCATCCATCCATCCAAACATTCATCCATCCACAGTATCCATCCATCCAAACATTCATCCATCCACAGTATCCATCCATCCACAGAATTCATACATCCATCCATCCATCCATTTATCCATCCACAGTATCCAAACATCCATCCATCTATTCATCTAACCATTCTTAGTATCCACCCATCTATCCAAACATCCATCCATCCATCCAATCATCCATCCATCCACAGAATTCACACATCCATCCATCCATCCATCCATCCATCCATCCTTCCTTAGTATTCACCCATCTTTCCAAACTTTCCACAGTACCCATCCATTCATTCATTCATCCAAACATTCATCCATCCACAGAATCCTACATCCATCCATCCACAGCATCCATCCATTCATCCATCCATATTTAGTATCCACCCATCTATACAAATATCCGTCCAACCATCCACAGTATCCATCCAACTATCTATCCATCCTATCCATCCATCTAATCCATCCACAATATCCATCTATCCATCCACAATATCCGTTCATCCACAATATCCATCCATCTTATCCATCCACAGTATCCATTCATCCATTTATTAACCCATTTTGCGTGATTTGGGTTCTGCTCAACAGATACTGAAGAATGGTTAAACCTGTAGCTATTGACTTTCATAGTGTTTGTTTTTCTACTATGGACATTAGTGTAATGCTGGGTTTGGGGCAAACATGCTATCAAAAATGTTCCATGTAATACCTCACTATACTATTCTGCAGAATACTATATTGAATAGCATCTGACATAATGTAGTATGTATATGTAAATATGTAATTTTGTAAAGTTCTGGGAAAGTTTGAAAACGCATCTGCAAAGTGTTTGAAAAGTGCTTAATTTAACTGGAAAATATGTAAGAACCCTGAAATACACTGAATATCACCACACGACCGTTTGTCAAAAAACACGTTGGCAGAGGATTTCTTGTGGTCGTAAGAGAAAAAAACAAGTTATATAGATTTGGAGGGGTTATAATTTCACCAGTCTCTTCCTGTAGAGTGAAAATCCTTTACATTCCCCTGAGAAACAGTTACAGTTGAATAGGGCTTTTTCCTAATCTTAATGGTAGAAACTGAATGATTTCCAGTAAGAAACCTATAATGTGTGATGTTAAACACGGCATTTACATTAGTTTGAATGGCAATATGAGGTGTTTCTGATCAAGAACCGTTCTTTAACAGGGCAAGTTAGAGGAGAGGAAACCATTTATGGTGCTCTTTGATGAAGCTGCAATGAACTACATCTTGTCTGCAGCACAGTGAGTAAACACCATCTTCATCTAAAAACACAAGGCGCAGTGTTTGGGAATAGTTTTTAAAGAAGCGCCCCTTCCTCCATGTTGCCATCAAATAAAACAGTTGTCATGCTAATGCCAATGCTTGGCCCTCTAGGCTAGTTTTGTTATGAGTTAAAACAATTGTTCTGTACAGTGAAATGTATTTCTTTATAAAATGTAACAATCTTTATTTATAAGAGCTCATTATATTGCTTGATTTATTTATTTATTTTAAATTTGGAACAGATGTGGAACAAATCCAATCTTGTGCTGATTTCATGTGTATAGACGATCTAATATGAGTAAAATATCTGAATTTTACATCTTGAATGGGCTGAATTGAGTTAAATTCTTCAGCAAAATAACCATAACTTCGATTAATTTGTCTAGCTTTTGATTGGGATTAGAAATAATCTCCTAAACCCTATTCTGAATGACTGCAAAATGCATTTGGTTTTACTTTACAGGTCAGCAGATGGTGCAGCTCTGTGCAACCAGTATGTTCACAATTTCTTTTTTTTTTTTTTTTTTTTTTTTTTTTTTTTTTTTATCACCAAGCTTCATTATGAAATACCTAGATTTTTTTTTCTGTTCATAATTACCAAAGCTGTCTATCTTACAATTCAGATCCTCAGGTGGCATCGATGAAAGGAGATACACTTTTCTGAAGAGGCTCTGTCAGGTTCTCTGTGCTCTGGGCAGTCAAGTCTGCTCTCTAGTGGTGAGATAACATCAGGAGCATTGCTGTAATACCTCACGCATCTCTTTTCATCTGATGAGAAATGCAGAATGTGTTTATGTTCTTGTTTTAGGGTTCAGATGTGGAAGTGCAAGTTCCTGTTAACTTGAATAAATATTTGGAAGCTCTTCTAGCGTTCACTACTCATCCCAGCCAGGTGAGACTCCATAATCAACCTTTGAGATTTTAGTTTTTTAAAATCAGTTTATTCCTTTTTGTTATTTGTTTATATTGGGGTTTTTTTGTATTGTGAATGTATGCTATGGAGGACGAAACCTGCACTAACAATAAATAAATAAATCTACAAATTCCTGCGTAAATACAATAAAGAAATAAATACGCAAATAAATATATATAGATTAGATTCAACTGTATTGTCATTACACAGGTACAAGTAATATTACACACAAAATATTGACATTTCACATTTTCACTAAGGGGTGTACTCACTAACGCCAGGGGTTCAGCTATTATTAGCTGTATTTGAAGTTATTTTAAGAGGACAATACATTTACACTGCTATACACACTATACACTGACTACTATTCATTGTCATTTCTGCAGTGTTGTCCTATGAAAAGATATAAATAAATATTTGCAGAAATGAGAGGGGTGTACTCACTTTTGTGACATACTGCAGGCCTGGATTGGCTAATCGGGAGGACCGGGAGAATTCCCGGTAGGCCGGTCTGTTTTTTGGCCGTGAGGGCCGGTGTCCCTAGCAGCTTGCACTCTCAGCAGTCACACTTTTTTTCATCTATTTATTTATTTGACCATGGTCTCACTGTTTTTATTCATTATTTTGCCGCAGCGCCGCTCTTTTTATTTATTTTCTCGCAGCCCCGTGAGCAAAATGCAGCCTGCAGGTTAACTAACGTTAATGATGATGATGTAACTATCGACCTTGAACAGCGGCACCTTAGTGAATATAAGAATTCGAATAATTAATATTAATTAATAATACACCTGCCCAATGAAAATCAGATGATTCCCTACATTAATAAATCTGACATAACTTGATTAGAAATCTAAAAAGGGGAGAAAAAGATTGAGCCATCAAAAGAAAGTACTGCTGTGTCTAAAGGGTCACAAGTCATTACTTATTTTTTATTGCCACTGTAGTAGCACCATTGTGGTCCAGTGTTCAGCACGTTGCGTTTTAACACCTCGGGCCCGTGTTCGAATCTCACCTGAAAAATTATTATTAATTTTTTTTTTTCATTTTTATTGTTAAAACATATAATACTGTTTGGGTTGTTGAACATTTGAATTTCTAAAGCAGCTGTTTTCTTGAAAAAGACGTGATAGTGTCATTAGAAACTGAATTGGAATCAGTCGTGAACTGAGGGGGCCGTTCTGGCTTGAAACACCAGGGCTGAAAATGAGTTCCACTCCGGCCCTGACATACTATATATATATATACATAAACAATTATATATATATATTTATATTTATATTTATTTTTTATTTATTGATTAATTGTTTTTGCAGGTTTGTTTTTTGTTCAGGGTTTTGTTTCTAGTCCAAATAATTAATTATTGAATCTATTCTTAAATCAAGAAGCATTTTAAACATGCAACACATTTGGTCTTGTTTTCAAAATCATAAGTCAAAATTAAGTCAGTTTTTCCTTAAAACAAGCAAAATAATCTTGTTTTTGCTTTGAAATAAGTTTATTTTACTTTCCTCATTGTCAGATTATTTTGCTTGTTTTAAAGAAAAACTTAAACAAGAGCACTAAGAAAATTGTCTCGTCAATTTTTAGACATTTGGACTTGAAACAAGACAAATACTCTGAAGTAAGAAAAGCTTTTTATGCCCTGTATTCACTCCTGCTACAGACATCATTCCACATTAATTTGGGCATTTGTGCATTGTTCAAAATAGTTTCTGAGGTCGTCAACGCAGATGACCTGGGGAATCATATTCCGACATGAAATACTGTCAAAGGATCCAGTAGTTGGCCAAATGGCCATCAAATATTTAAGAGCGACGAGGATCAATCTTGTAAAAGTAAGTGATGTGAATCTTAGACATAAAGAGCAGCCTCCTGTGATCATTATCATGTTTAATTTCTCCACTTGTCTTCAACAGACTGGATTTCCCTCCAAGAATGATTGTCCAGGCTGTGAATTCTCCAGAGTGGACTTTGACAGCGATGAAGATTTCAACTCCTCCTTTAATTGTGAGTTGTAACCAGGGCCAGACAAAACCTGTGGACATTTTTTGCTATTTCTATGCAGATTTTTTGTAAAAAAAAAAAAAAAAATATATATAATATATATATAATATATATATATATATAATATATATATATAAATGTATTTATGTATGTATGTGTGTGTGTGTATGTGTGTATATATATATATATATATACATACATACATACATACATACATACATACATACATACATACATACATACATACAATAATAATAATAAAAATAACTCTCTGGATTTATGCAGAACGATTTTGGTACTAGCCAAAACTTTTTATTTACGGTTTACATTTAGGGCTTCAGCTGTCAATAATTTTAATAATTGATTAAGCCACCACTGTAATCAATCGATTAATTCAATTGCTTAATTAAAATAAATATAAGCAAATCAAATCAATGTTATAAAGCCAGGCAGTGATGTATTAACTAATTAACGAAGCATCGATTACTACTAATTTAATATGTTATTTCTTTCTAATCTATTAAATCGACTAATTAGATTATAAGGTTTCAGCACTATTTACAATGCTGATATAACATATCTACTGAACGGCAGAAAATATAACTTTATAAACTGTATTTTAAATAAATCACGTAAACAATAACATATTAGTTAATAATACTACTGAAATCAATATAAAATGGAGTAAATATGTATATAACTACCCAATAATGGGCTAAACAAAATCTATGTGGACCTATTAAGTCTTGACACATATTAGTTTAGAGTTAATCTGATGGTACGCTGCATTTGTCAAAAAAAGTGAATATTATCTTTCACATGAGCATGACGTTTATAGACTGCATTGTTAAACTGGGTGTCTGATCGCAAACTGCAAATTACCCTGCCTAAAGCAGTAAAATGATGTTAAACTGGATATGAGGAGAGAGAAACGCTGAACATCACACAACATAACTTACTGGTTTCTTACCTGACTGACTCTGGGTCATGCAACTCTTAACAGAGCGAGTTAGAAGTAAAATTTAAAAGAAATGCATGCCACTTAGATGCTATTTCTGGTGGATTATATTACTGTTTTGATAGTCTTGAAAAGCTTATTTAATGTCACCTTTTGAAGAAGAAAAAAACTAATAGTGTAAAAAAAAATCCTTATAAATGCTATCAAATGTTATGTATATTCTTTAAATGCTAATTGCAAAGAGAAAACCCACATCTAATAAATAAATGTGCCATGTTCTGGTTATTCCACAGCTTCCAGGGCTCAGCAGGGGGAAGCGGTTCGCCTCACTTGTAGAATCGTCCCTTTTAAAGCCTTTCAAATTGCAAGGGACTGGATGCAGTATCAGATCAGCACACCTATAGATGCTGGAAAAACAACAGGTGAGTTCTGTTCCTACACTCTCTATAGTAGATGCTCTTTAACCTCCAAATGCATGTGCAGCTATTGTAAATGTGCTTTACGGAGTCTTTATTTGCTGTCTTTGTTTTGTTGTATTGGAAACGCTGGTATTATAAAGTCTGCATGAACTGTATGTTGCTTAAACTTTATCAGTGTGTTAATGTACTTCCAATTAAAATGGTGTATTGAGTAGGGTGTGGGGCTTTACTAGCCTTTGGATATGTTTGTCGCTGCTTTTGCCCCATTGACTTCCATTATAACTAAATTTGGTAATTTTTAGATTTGAACTCTATATAAAAGCCAGAAACTATTTTGCTCAGGCCTATCTAAAGGGTTAATGCTGCCTCAACTGATGATCAACATTAAAAATTTCAAGTTTGATCTCTTCCCAACATGGAAAACCACCAATAATCAAGGGAAAACGCCTTTTCAACCAAAAAAAAGTCAATATAATGGAAGTCAATGGAGCAAAAACAGCCACCAAGACGACGATAGGGTAGTAAAGTTGAGCAATACACAATGGTTAAGAATAACAATATGAGCTAGCGAAATTAAACACTGTTATTTTTGTTTTCATTCAGACTGTAATGGATATAATAATAATTTGGTTAAAAGTTCGACATCTATCTGGCATGGAGCTTTGTTTTTTAAATCGCCATATTTCCACTGTATCACCAAGAATCACATTAAAGCAGACAGACCTTTATTTATTTCTTTATTTTTAAAAAAAAAAATTTTTTATCAATAAGACAACTGTAAGGCCGTACTCGCACTAGGTACAGTTGCCTCGAACCGGGCTAAAGCACGCTTGTCCCCCCTCCCGTCTCCCCCGACGGCCCGCTTACACCACAATCGGGCTTCGGCACGCTTACGTCATCGCTGTTCAGTGAGAAGCGCTCTCTCACTCAGCAGCACAGTGGAGATTTCTCTAGTTATATCGTGTCAGTCGTTTGATATGCAGTGACATGCAGTCAAATATTTCGCCAAACAGTCCTTAGGGATGCGGTGACACGCAGTCAGATATTTCGCCGAACAGATCCGCCACTTTTGCCGCTCATAAACAATCATAAAGTCCTCGTGCTGCAGGAATGAGGAGGTCTGCTGAAGGTGCAGCTGTGGTGCAGTTAGGAGTTTGCGTCTTTAATAAACTACGGCAGTTTGCGTTCATTGAACATTAAGAATGATTAATAAATCCATATGAAACAATCCCTTAAAAGTCACGTCTCGCTTTCAGTTTCGGGTGAAAAGCCCAAGTGAACAGCGCTCAGGCCCACCTCTTCCAACCGGGCCAGGGCCGGCCAAGTGAACCGTGCTTGAGCCCGATTCAGCGCACTCATACTTCTCAAACGATCCGGGAAACGGGCCTGGGCATGGTACGGATGGCATAGTGGGAGTAGGCCCTAATACTGGTATTTCCAGGGTGTCCACAAAGTCTTAAAGTCTCAAAATATCTTACTTTTTTTTTTTTTTTTTTAATTACAATTTTAGGCCATTAAAAGTAAAATTTACCAAAATATTGTGATCTAGATCTAGATATTATATATATTAATATTGTATTCTAGATCTTAAATAATTTTAATCAAGTCATTTTAAACAAGTTTATAGCTACTTGGTGAGGACACTGACAGAGACAGACAGTTGTGAATGCATTGTTTATTATAGTTTTTAAAACTCGGTTATTATTCATTCATTCATTCATTTTCTTTTCGGCTTAGCCTTTTTATTAATCTGGGGTCGCCACAGCGGAATTAACCGCCAACTTTTCCAGCATATGTTTTACGCAGCGAATGCCCTTCCAGCCGCAACCCATCTCCAGGAAACCCATACACATTCATTCGCACACATACACTACGGACAATTTAGCCTACCCAATTCACCTGTACCGCATGTCTTTGGATTGTGGGGGTAACCGGAGCACCCGGAAGAAACCAACGCAAACGCAGGGAGAACATGCAAACTCCACACAGAAACACCAACTGACCCAGATGAGGCTTGAACCAGCGACCTTCTTGCTGTGAGGCGGCAGCACTTCCTACTGCTCCACTGCATCATCGTTATTATTTTCAATCAATTATTATTATTATTTTTTTTCAATTATTATTTGTTTTTAAAGGTCAATGTTATGTTTTCCTTTGGCTTAGTCTCTGTTTTAGAAGTTGCCAGAGCGGAATGAACCACCAGCTATTTCGGCATATGTTTTATGCAATGCATGCCCTTCCAGCTGTAACCCAGTACTGGGAAACACCCATGCACACTCATACACTACGGCCAATTTAGATTATCCAATCCCCTATAGCACATGTGTTTGGACTGTGGAGGAAAGCGTTGGCAGTTCATTCCGCTGTGGCAGCTTCTGAAATAGGGACTAAGGGTGCTTTCACACCGAGGTGATCTCGGCTCGATTGAAACGAACCCTGGAGCCGTTGGATTGCAGTGAGAAAGCGATACAATTCGAGCGCGGTTATGTCACAGTGTTTTATGGATATGTAATAGGCATACGGCTATATGAAGAGAGAATTATGAGTATTGCGGGAAGTTTCGCGAGTCTCCGGATGCCCGCAAACAAGTGATGATCTCTCGGTAATCTCACGTCTCCCTCCCGGTCCTCAAATAGGCATCGTCGCGCACCCTTCTCACCCCTCTCCAACGCGTCTCTCCTCGGACACATCGCACGCGCACCCTGTCAATCACCACCAAACCACCACCTCTCCTGACAGCTGAGCGGGACAAAATAAACCCTGACACTCTGACAAATGTGAGGAGAGTTTACTCACACGTGACTTGTTTTAGCTCTTTTGGTCCGATTAGAAACTTTGCAGTGTGAAAGCGAACCGCTCCAAGAGCAAAGAGCAACAATGTAACATCTGTAATCTCTGTTTCGGAACAACTGAATCAATTCACAGGTGTGAAAGCACCCTAAGCCGAAGGAAAATGAATGAATGAATGAATGTATAAATCTGACTGTTTCTCACCGTTGATTTGAACTCCTAACTAGATTTGAGTGTCTTCTTATTGTAGTTTATAATCCTTCACAGTTCTAAATGGCTAATTGACTATGAATTAACTTGTAACGTTCATCTGTTAAAGCCAAGACAGAGAAGGGTCTCTGCTCTCCTCTGTCCCCTTCGGTGGTTCAGTGGGAAGCCATGACCACCTTCACTGAAAATGTGTTTGGGCAGCTCTTCAAAATCCTCGAAAAAGAGGTGAGATCAGGCATTTCCATGTAATGCTAGAGCAGCGAGGGATCTTGTCACCAAGACTCTTGCTCTTTTCTCTCCTGTAGAAACTCCCCATAGACGAGGGCATGGCGCTGCTGCAGATAGCGGTGAATTTCGAGACCAGAGATCCTCTCATTCTGTCCTGTGTGCTCACCATCGTCTCCACACTCTTCCCCATTCTCACACACCGGCCTCACTTCCTACCTCAAGTACTCTTTAAGGTGAGCTTTACATTCAGACATATTTTAAATGTCAGGGCTGCTTAACACTCACTATTATTCGGTGATAGAAATCTAACAGGAATCTAATTAATTTATTTAAATCAAATATATTTTATGCAGAAACACTTTGATTGACATGCACTCTTTGTACGTGTCATCAGAGGGGGAAAGCCCCACCCACTGGTGACCATCTCTCCCTCATTAGCATAGGACGTTAGTCTTGTTTTTGAATCTGCCACTATGCTGACACACAGGCATTTGTAGCTCCGCCTCTTCTGAAAAGAGCACAGTCTCATTTGAATTTAAAGCGACAGTCACCAAAACGCCACACAATTAGTATCAAAGCCTAAAAGGGTCAGTTTCAGAGAGTTATAAAACTTTATTTGGGTGGAATTATCAGCTGAAACGTCACACACACAATCTAGGGACATCAGAGACTTAATTTACATCTTGTAAATTCGCTCCCCTTTAAGTCATAGTAGTGCTATTATTTAATTATGGTGGCTTGAAAAGCCAACATACTGTTATCTCACTTAAGCTTCCTCTTCTTATTATTCTTCTGAGACTAAGTTTAAAGTGTATCTCCTCCTAACCCTTTCAAGCTACATACTTCAAACTTTAGTCAAACCTTCAAATTGGTCTGACTCGGGTTGCTATATCTTTTCTAACTGATCCGACTTTCGGTTTTCCGAAAACGACTCGGAAAATTCCCAAAATTCCCATCGACTTAACATTGGGTCAAACTTTGTGACCTCATAAATCTGCATCAGACTGTCACACAAACTTAAGAAAGGCCTCATCTAACTCAGACTAGCCTAGCAACCACTTATGGCACCCTAGCAACTATCCCATAGACTTCAATTGTAGAAGACTGCCATTGACTTAACATTGAGTCAACCTTTGTGACCTCATAACTCTGCATCAGACTGCCCTACAGACTAGAGTCAGGCCTCATTCAACTCAGTCTAGCCTGCAGCCAATCACTGATGATCTTTAGACTTACTAACCACTCCCTAGCAACCAATTTTAGCACCCTAGCAACTGTTTTATAGACTATGAATAGCTGTTCTAACACATGCTAATAGTTTTAACATGCTACTGACATGCTAATCTTGATAGAAACATGCTAGTCATGCTAACATCATGATAATTCATGCTAACATCATGCTAATTCATGCTAGAAACAAGCTGATTCATGCTAGAATCATGCCAATTCATGCTAGACTCATGCTAGGAACATGCTAATTCATGCTAGAATCTCGCTAGAATCATGCTAATTCATGCTAGAATCATGCTAATTCATGCTAGTAACATGCTAATTCATGCTATTAACATGATAATTGATGCTAACATCATGCTAATTCATGCTAGAAACAAGCTGATTCATGCTAGAATCATGCCAATTCATGCTAGGAACATGTTAATTCATGCAAGAATCACGCTAGAATCATGCTAATTCATGCTAGTAACATGCTAATTCATGCTAGAATCATGCTAATTCATGCTAGAACCATGCTAGTAACATGCTAATTCATGCTAGAATCATTCTAGTAGCATGCTAATTCATGCTAGACTCATGCTAGTAACATACTAATTCATGTTAAAATCATGCTAGTAACATGCTAATTCATGCTAGAATCATTCTAACAACATGCTAATTCATGCTAGAATCATGCTAATAACATGCTAATTCATGCTAGAATCATACTTGTAACATGCTAATCACACTTTAAACCACTTCAAACCTTCAGACTCGGCTTTTCAAGCCACCATAAAGTCTGTTCTCAAACTTTAATATTTATTTTCTTTATTGAAGTCTGTAACATGCCTAAATGCACTAATTTTTTTTCCCCCTCAAAGATATTTTCTGCAATCACGTTTGAGTTGGTTGATGAACGCAAGGTAAGGTGCTCATACTTGTAAACATCTCTGCATATCGTCCTGTAATCAGAGCCTCTTGCAGATGTTTTGTGTTCGTGTGTTCAGGCTCCTCGAACGCGAGCGGTGAAGAACGTCAGAAGACACGCCTGCTCCTCCATCATCAGGATCTGTCGCGATTATTCAGACTTCATGCTGGTAGGTTAATGCATTCAAGGTCCAAATTCTTTTCAGAATATTTATCTCTTATGTAAAAGTACTTGTATGGTCTGCCTCAGGTTATGTGTGTAGCAGAGGTCGCGTTAGACTTTCTCATTGTCCGTCATTTTGACGGAGAGGGTTGTAAAATTTCCATCATAACTTATTTAATTTGCAGACTTTCTGAATGCTTTTTTCATTCATATTTTAATAATGAACTTGCATGACAAGCATATAGGCTAAATTATTAATTTATTTTTTTGACAAACGAACAAAAACTCCTATCTGCCTTACCTCATATCTTCCTCCTGCGTCGACCTGAACTGGGTGCTTGCCTGTGCGTAATCAAACGCATCAAGGGAGACTGTCTTTGCCTCAGAAACTTCTCGTGACCAAAGATCGATTTTACTAGCGCCACTTCAGCCAGAAAATTGCCTTTTAAATGCTATTTTTAATATATTTCTTTTAGCTTGCTCTTTTAATGCTGATGCTAACAGTCTTTTCATGCATTGTTAGCCGTGCTTCGACCTGATGTATGAGCACGTGAAGAGGCTGTTCTCCGATGAGCTGCTGCTGACTCAGCTGGAGAAATGTGCCCTCATGGAGGCCCTGATACTGATCAGCAATCAGTTTAAAGACTATAAGAAGCAGAAAGCCTTCCTGGAAGAGCTGATGGCCCCGGTCACTGCACTGTGGCTATCGGAGGAGATGAGGAGGTATGTGAGTGGATGTTACATTAAGGGTGCTTTCACACCTGCCTTATTTAGTTCGGTTGAATTGCACTAGAGTTCGTTTTCCCTCTTGGTGCGGTTCGTTTTGGCTGGTGAGAATACAGCAATCGCACTCGAGTGCACACCAAAAGCGGACCAAATAAGTGTACCGAGACCTGCTTGAAGAGGTGGTCTCGGTACGCTTTCAAACGAACCCTTGAGCGGTTTGTTAGTGGTGAGAATATGATCCGTACTAAAACAGCTCCAACCGCAAAAAGTACTGCGCCTTTTGGACTAATCCAGCTGCCGTAGGCCGATGCGCTGTGCATTATGGGATATGGAGGAAAAATATTTATTGACAGCGCTTTACCAACAGAGAGAGAGAGAGAGAGAAAAACATTACCTGATGGATCGTTGGTAATATTTCCGCAAGATGAGCATGTCGCAGTTTAGCTAAATTAATTCACGCCTCCTCCTGAAGTGACGAGCGACGCATTAAACCCTGTTTTCCAGCCGCGCTTCATTCTCGAAATGTATGAAATTCCCTTCATAGTAAAAAGCGACATTTTGTGTCTGCCGGTTTTGTTTACTTGCGGCAGTTCACTGGCATTTTCCCGCACGTGAATTCTGACCAATCAATAAGCAGTTTAGGAACTATGTTCAACATCATCTGGCCAATGAGAGATGTGGATTTTGTCACATGACTGCATTTTGGTTCGTTTCAACTGGTTCGGACCAAAGCCAGCAGCGTGGTGTGAAAACGACCCAAAGACGACAGAAAATGCAACAATGTATCATTTATTACCCTTGGTCCGGACCAAATAAAGCGAACTACAGATGTGAAAGCACCCTTAGTCATTTATTTAGCAAACAGTTTTGTCCATTCAGCAATTCAACAAGAAAAGGCAATACACACAACAAGTGTTAATGAAACAAAGGAATTGTTGGTGCTCAGGGAATTAGGTGTTAGAGTAAGGGTGTTTTTTTAGAGAGTATGACCCTGTTTACACTAATGCGTTTTAGTTTGAAAACGCATAAGTTTTGCTACGGTTACGCCATCCGTCCACACAACGCCGGAGTTCTCAAGGCGCCGAAAACGGAGCGTTTTAAAAACGCTGGAGAGGCCGTTTTCATTCTGAAACGCTGCTGCTCCGTCTCAGTGTGGATGAGGGAAAACAGAGACATCTGAAAACGGAGGCGGGGCTGCTGAGATTCGCTACCTGATTGGGGCTTTTGTGTCATTGCATATCCTTCCCTTATTCGTCAAGCCCCTATCACATGACTATAACACATGGCTTTAACGCTACTGGAAGACAGCAGACCAGCCTTCACTGTAAACAACAACACGGACACAGAAATGGGAGCGTTGTTTGCTCTATTGTCTGTTTTAGTTATTTATTTGTTACGTTTAGTGACAACTCGACCTCGTCGTCTGTCTACAAAAATACCTCTCTTGCTTTCTTTGCCATCGCGTTCATTGTTCAGCCGGTGTTTATTGACTAACAATAACCAAATGCAAAGTGTGACGCATGCTTTCTCTTTATACTAGAGCGCGCATGCCCAGAGTGCGCGAATGGTCACGTGATATACGTTTTTGGTGGCGTAGTGTGGACGGAGATATGTTTAGAAACGCTGGGTGAAACGCTAGTGTGGACGCGGATCGCTTTTTGATCTAAAACGCCGTTTTAAAACTAAAACGCACTAGTGTAAACGGGGCCTATTTTAACAGGTGGTTTGTCAACCCCACTCGCATGTGTAAAGCTCATAAATGCAGTGTTTTCTTCTGCTGATTGTAAGAAGGAGGTACAAACTTGGTGCAAGTGTCTAAAATGCATGAATGTGTTTTCTACTGGTGGTTTGTCAATCCCACTCATCTGTGAGGCACACTCAGTTTGGATCTGGGTTTTGTTCACAGTTGTTGTTGATTGATAATGATCTGTGTTATCAGCATGTTGTAATCTAATCTGTCTGTGTTTGCAGCGTGTTGTGGGACCCTGCTACTTTTTTGACGTTTGTTGGTGCTGATCAGGAGATCAGTGATTCTGACACTGACGAACAGATGGGCATCAACAGGTCACGGGTAGGTGTGATGTAGAGCAGGGGTTCTCCACTGGTTTGGCCATGGGACCCACATTTTTACATGGTCATCAAGCCGTGACCCAAATTTTTAGGAACTACAATACAATTTTAGTAATTATACTTAATTTGTATTTATTTGTTCACATAAACAAGTAGTGACAGATACATCATAAGAAATTCACCAAGACTTACTAATAAACACTATTTTATTGCTGTCATTTAACAAAATGGATCAAATTATAGAAATATTACAAAGTAAAAATGACAAATACTGTTAATATTAAACTGTTATTAAAACATGTTTTCTGGTTTCTAAATGTTGTTTTAATTTAGTAGTCCTGACAACAAAAACACTGCTGTCACCTCGACGGAAACCCCGCCTCTGCTTTCATTTGATTGGAGAATGAAAAAGATGCAACTGACGTAACGCGCTTTTCCACTCGAAGTTAACTTTTTTCAACAGCAAAAACACGAGGCCTACAGGGCGCATAAGCAGCTCGCATAACGCTCGCGGTCGTTAGTAAACCATTCAAAAAAAGGCACCTCTTAATCTGGCCGTGGGACCTGACCAGATTTCTGCGGCGGGGAAATATATTTCTGAATAAAGCGTGGGAGCGTTCGGTAACAGGTTTAATTCGGGACGGGAGCCATCTAGCAATATCGCTCCCGACTCCCGAGCGAGCGAGCACGCGTATGTAACATTATGTGTGTGACTGAAACGTGCGATGCTGTGAGAGATGTGTGTGTGTGTGTGTGTACGTGTTTTTGTGACATATCAGGACACAAATCTGTATAATGACATGGGTATGACACAGGTATTACAAAAAGGAGGTGAAATATGAGGACATTGGTGACGTCCTCATTTCTCAAAATGCTTATAAATACTACAGAATGAGTTTAATCAGAGAGTAAAGCAGCACACAGTCTCCTGTGATGGTTGGGTTTAGGGTTGGGGTGAGGGCAATACAATATACTGTTTGGACAGTATAAAATAAATGGAAATCTATGTAATGTCCCCACTTTTCACAAAAACAAACATGTGTGTGTGTGCGTGCGCGAATGAGAGAGGAAGAGGTGTGTGTGTGTGCAAATGAGAGAGCTTTGTCTGTCTGTGTGTGTGCTTGTGTGTGCGTGTGTGTGCGTGTGTGTGTGTGTGTCTGTGTGTTGATACAGACAGCTTGTAATAGGCTCTGTACTCTGTATAGCTGGGTGGATTTTGATTTTGTTCTCCCTCCTGCTCTTTAGCGGGATCGGGCGCGACGGGTAGAAAACGGGGCTGGTCGGGCAGCGGGACAACAAATGCACAAAATAGGCGGGAGCGGTCGGGTTCGGGCTAAAACCTGGCGGGAGCGGGATTCAAAATTTAGTCCTGTGCAGATCTCTACCTCTCAACGCAAATAGCGTGTTCGCTGTGATTAATCCCTAGGTCTCCCCAGTAGATGTTGTAAATGGGCTCTTTTTTTCTCTCTGTCTAATAGATGTGTATATTAATGGCAGTGTCTTTTATGGCAGATTAGTCTTTGTGTGCACACCATTCTCGGTGTGGTGAAGCGAGCTCGCTGGCCTGCTGATGCTGACCAGGCCAAAGCTGGAGGTTTTGTGGTGCGCACTGCCTCTGATGGGACCCCAGTCTACAGAAACCCCTGTGCAGAGGCCCTGCAGGCCCTGCTGCCCAACCTTCTGGCACTCATCAGGTACGTCATAGAAATATAGATGCCAAAACTAGTTATTAAATATGAAGTCTGTGGTGAACTATTCTCCAGTGTTTTGAAGGGTAGTGATGAAAATTGGGAGCTTTGTCTTGCATACTACATTTAGGTTATGTCTGTATGTGTAACTTGTGTCAGTGAGCCTGTATATTCTAAGTTGTAATGTTTTCTCGTTTTGTTTTTTTTTTTAATCATAATTCCTATTTAAGGTCAGTGTATTGATGTGCATGTACCTATCAAATCAATCGAAATTAGTAATTAGTGACTATATGGAGTTCGGGTAAAAGAAAAGTACAACTTCACACCTGAAAATGTTGGGATATTTTGTAAAATTTAATGAAATCAAGAATAAGTTGACAATTTTAATTGACAAAAGTACTAATTAATGCCATGTATATAAGTATTTCTATTAATTTTTTTAATTGGGTGCCATGAAAATAGGATGAGGGAGTCAGTCTTGTGCATTTTTTTATTCAATGTAATCGCAACTAAAACAATGAGAGGGTGGGGTCTATATTAGCTCCTCCCCTTTAAAGTAACAGCCAATTGTGTTTAGTTTTCATCTCACCTCTGCCAGTGAGTGGTTGAGCTCAAGCAATTGAAAAGCATCTTGAAGGGGGCGGGGCTGGTCAGATACTAGAGAGCATTTGATTGGTCAGAAGGTTTAATGGGAAACATCCATTTAGACGGAAGTGACAAACTGCAAGCTTTGGGTGTTGATATCTTCTACATGCCACTCTTTTAGAGCACACTAGCTTATAGATATTCTTAAGACTAAAATGTTAGCTTAATTTCAAATATCACCTTTGATAGCAGAAATTGAGGCAAGACATAAAACAACAAATAAAAAGGAAGGGGAAAAAATAGAAGTAAAATGTTGAAGCGTTTTTTAGCAAAGTGTTATGTATTTCTTGGAAGTAGTAATGCAGTAAAACCAGCCAGAACTCTTAAACTCAAACTGGATGAGAATGTCCTGCTCAAAGCTGCCAGATATGATGAAAAATACACATGGTAGA